ACGTGGCTGCAAATTTGTACATCCCGCACAGCCAAACGGACGCCCCACTTTAGCAAGGGTTTTACTGCCGGTCGGAGGAAGACCAATGGTGACCATACTTCTATTCCCCAGTCACCCTTGGGGAAGTCTGGAGTGGTGTAATTTTTAATCAACACCATTGTCATATATTGGCTATATATAAAGTTGAATTCTTTGATTTGTCGTTTTTACCCCATGACGGCTGATAGATTAGACGTCGTTATTTTTTGTATTATAGATAATACCTATTTAAAAATTAAAAATGGGTCACAGGGCTTTTTTTCAATTTTGTCAGTGTAGCTCCAGCATTAAACTTTGAGAGCTTAAAACAAATATTAACAGACAATACCATGAACAATAAACAAACTTAAAGATAAAAAAGAAGAGCAACGGTAAGATGCAAACAGACATGTTCAAGGATACCAGTCTTAATTTGACAAATTTGCTAAAGCAGTATAATCGTGAAGCGCATTAACATACAATGTTTCACAACTAGCTGAATCCCAGGTAGAGCCTTCTTCTTCGCAGCTAAGGTCGAGACAGAGCCCTCAAATTCCAACAATTGTGGTTATACAGTATGGAGGTTTGCAGTGTATTGCAAGGGTTAGTTCTATGACAGAACTGTACAATGTGGTTACAGAACGATTCCCTGAAAGTTGGAATGTTTCACTGATCTGTGAAGGAACAGTCTTAGATGACAGTGTATGCTTTGACCTATTAGGTCACCGTCCTCACATTGAGGTGAGGCGCCTTCAGTAGTTAAATTGTCATAACAGAACAGTTTTCCCAGTTTGGGATTTAACGCCTTTAGTACTGTGTTGAGTGTGAACCATAGTTTTATTTTATGTGATTTTTATTTTTTATCTTTTGTTCACACACTCACATGTAAAGTGTACAATATGTTAAATAGTTGCAACTGATAATTAGAGTGGTGTCATGTCCCAGATAAATAATTAAATTGTAGTTAAACTAACTATTACAGTAATAAAATAGTTAAATGTATCCTTATATAGAGGCACTATATAGGTGGGATTTTTGACAAGAGTCAAATTATTTATGGTCATGTACATCCTTCCCAGTTTTGGAATTATAGCCCTATAGTATTTAGTAGGTTGTAAAAGGTGTATAAGGATATACATATTAGTTAGTTTCATTTGGAAATTCAGGGCGGTATTAATGAACTTGTCATTTGGACATTGAGATAGTTTTATATTCTGAAGTATGATTTTCGTCAGTTCAGGTCTGAACAGTTGATACATGTACATGCATGTGAACATTACACAGAGTCAGGGATTTTAGACGTGTTGAGCACGCAGTTTATCGTCTTGTAGTGAGACCCGTGTCCAGGACTTTAGAAGTTGGAATAGCATATGGCTATGGTCGACGTGGAGTTCGGCTGTTATTTGTCCTGAAGAACCTGTTGAGGTTGGCACCCTGTAGCAAATCTGGTGTGTAAACTGTTGGGAGTTTGGTACTCCATGGATAAGATAGCTGTTCAGAGCTGGATTTTCATATGTTTATGTTAACAGGGGTAATTTTTTTTTCTATGGGAAAGATTTAGTTTTCTCAATTTTCCCCTTATCCAGGATTTAGGGGGGTGGATAATTTAGATACCCTGTGTCATGGTTGAGTACTAAAAGACGCTACCAGTCTTCCCCTGGGGAGTTTAAGTAAGATTATACAGTCGTTTTTGTCGGAACTGTATTTCCTCCTTTGTAAGATGGAAGGGGTGTAGTGTAATTGCCCCGTAGTTCTAGGGGGTTTCCCCAACCTGTCACAAGGGAACTGGTACATCACCGAGGGATCCGAAGGGACACATGACGCAAGGGTAACAGTTGGGTACTTCCAGCCTCTTCTTCGAGTGCATCCCTCTCTTACCACGGAACGAGCAAGGCAATGCGCCTGATATCTGGGACCTGACGAGGTTAGCTGGGACAGACACCTTGTAGGAAGGTAAGGGCACTCTAACACTAAGCATAGCTTGCATTAGCCACTGTGGTAACCGTAGAGCTCAGCGAGACAGGCCAAATAACACTTTATCAGTTTAACATAATAAAACAGCTGAACAATAATCCTGATCTCACGAACACAATATCATCTCAACTCTTCTAACTAGAAGATTTAACTTACCACTACACACGCTAAATATAGTCCAACTCAGGTTAATATTAACGTACACACGCATACTAATTATTAAAGTTATATATCTTCACATGTTGTCAATTGCTTTTGTTTTAAATGTTCATTAATTTCCTTAGTAACAGCAGCCACAACAATGTTAATATTAATATCCGCCGGGTTTAAATTGTTAGAATATTCAATTGACGTGTCTCTATTTACCACTTTACGGCCATCCGTTAGATTTACCGTTGTTGCTTCCAGTTTTATGATAATTGTTTTCGTCCGGTTCTACTGTCCCATTCTTTTTGTCATTGTATTTGCGATTTTCATCACGTTCCGTGTCGTCCAATTCTGGTTCAGTAATAAATTCGTCCAATGAAATGTCCTCTAGAAAATCTGGCATTTCACTGAATGTCGGTTCCTGGCGTATCGTGAAACATTGATTCTTTTTCCATCAAATTTCCATGAGCATAATAGCTGCTCTACTTCTGTATAGATACTGTAAGAGTGTCTGTTGTTTCTGTTTCCCTATGAAATTTTCTTGTGTTTCTCCTGAAGTGGCTCTTTCTGCTAAATGTTGTATGGCAAATCAAACATTTAATCCGTTCTGTTTTTTAATTTGCTGAATGCACTTCCTTAATATATATTTTTTATGATTTATTACAACTATACCATTTATAACAATGTTCACACATAATCCTATTTTCTGAATCTTTTCTATCCATTGTTATTTCATAAATTATTTGTGAATACATTTTGTGTATTGTCTGATCGATAACGCATAGGTATTCTGACAATTCTCCCGCGCTTTGTCTTTAATATAGGTGGTGTCACTGATTTTGAATGGTCCCCGGTACCGTCCGGGGTTTCCGATGTTTTATTCAATAAATTGTTCGGCGGTCCCAATGTTTTATTCAAAGAATTGTTCGGGGGTTCCAATATTTAATCCAAGGAAGCGTTTGGGGGTTACAATGTTTTATTCAAAGGATTGTCCGGCGGTTCCAATGTTTTATTCAAAGAATTGTCCGGCGGTCTCAATGTTTAATATAAAGAATTGTCCGGCGGTTCCAATGTTTTATCCACAGAATTGTTCGGGGGTTCCAATATTTAATCCAAGGAAGCGTTTGGGGGTTACAATGTTTTATTCATAGAATTGTCCGGCGGTCCCAATGTTTTATTCAAAGAATTGTCCGGCGGTCTCAATGTTTAATATAAAGAATTGTCCGGCGGTTCCAATGTTTTATCCACAGAATTTTCCGGTGGTCCTAATGTTTTATCCACAGAATTTTTTCGGCGTTCCAAATGTTTTATCTGTTTGATATTCATCTGATTGCACGAGGGTCGGCTCGGTGTCATGATTATTTTCTGATGCATCATTTCTCTGTTTTTTTCATGTTCACTGTCGAAAGTATTTATCACTGGTGGTTGGGCGTGTAAGATTGTTTTCTCTGGTTTAATTCACGAAAGAGCGAGGCGAAATAATTTTGAGGTAAAAATTATTAACATATTCTTCTCAAGTGAGTGCAATGAAGATTTCTTGCCAAGCGAAGCGTGGGGAGAAATATTGTCTGGTAAAATTAGCGAGAAATCGAATCATCATAATTAACAAGAAACCTGTGAGCTTCTATTCAGACGGACGGACAAGGGTAAAACTAAATGCCCCCTTCACTACAGCGGGCATAATAAACAAAATCGATCAATTGTGAACTGATGTCAAACTTTTCACGAGAGACAAACTTATCTACTGATTTTAAATTCTGCTAACTTGTGTAGCTTTTATAGCATGACCTATGGTACCTAAATACGGATTATTCACTTGCTGTTTCATTGCAGAATTCATTCTAATAACTTAACAAATCACCACGTCTTTGCGCTGCAGCATTTATCAGACTTTTCTTTCCAGATTCTGTGGATGTTATTAAAATGTCATCAACAATCGAATCACAGATAAGGCCTTTATCATCACAAACTTCTACTCTCCTTTTTTTGGCATCTGGCGGGACCAGTTTTAACGAGACTGCTAAATTGTCTATTTGATTGGATAAAAAACAAATCAAACCCACCGGAAAACCAAACGAACCCTTCAATGATATTTGTTTTCCTAGTTCAATTCAACAAAAACTAATAAACAATAATACCAAACAACATAAATTAATCACAAGGCTTTGGAATTTATAAAATAAAGAAGAAATATGCTTGAAAATGACTACAAATGACCGTCGCTAAATCGCTAGATGTGGGACAGTATCTAGAAACCACAACAATTTGTGACAAATATTCGGACTAGAAATCTGGATAAAAAGCAGATATTTAGCCAAATATTTATCTTATTAGGAATTAACTTCAAAAAGTAAATCGGGTCGATTGAAGTATTAGACAGCGGCTTCACTGTAATCAATTTCTAAGGTTTGAATTTGAACAAATACACTAAAATTTAATTCTATGGCTCAAACATTTGGAAAATGTATTGCATAATTATTAACCGAAAAATAACCACACAAAAAGAACTAATTGAAATGGCTAACTGACGCTTTTTTAACATACAATATACTATTGATCCAGATTGAAACAATAAAATCGGGAACTAGTTTCACAAAGTTGTCCAAGAAAGAAGTAGTGCATTAATATATTGATTTTTCCTACGCTGTTTTGTAAGAGAAGACAAAGCGATTGGTGTTTTTCGTCAACGGTATTCGACATGTAATATAAAAAGACGTGGTATGAATGCCAATGAGACAACTCCCCTTCCAAAACACACTGTTGTCAAAGTAAGCAATTACAGGTGACACGGAGTACAATTTTTATAGTTCTGTTCATTAATTTTATTTATATTCATATAATTTATATATATATATTCATAGTGGGAAAAGAATGGATCACAGAGAAAAACGTTGCAGCTCATGGAGACTGCACGAGGAATTCAACCAAGAACAACACACTGGCTTTTGTCAGATCTTAAACAGCAACACCAGTACAAAATGAAGAAAAAGAAAAACAATATCTGAGAATAATTCCCTTTTCCAAAAGTAAACCTTCTTGATTCATCAATACATATTACTAGGAATGTGATATTTTGTATGTTTTATTCATTGATTTTATTATTACCAGAAAAGAAGCGTAACTTTTATCATCGTTATATAAATTTTAAGTTTGATAATGTTTTTATGTTAAATGACTGTAAGCATATAATATACCTACCGCAGTAGACTTATTACCGGATTTGAACTTACGTGAGCAACACGACGGATGCCACATGTAGAGCAGGATTTGCTTAACCTTTCTGAGCATCTGCGACCACCGCCAGTTTTTTGTGGGGTTGGTGTTGCTAAGTCTTTTCAGGTTGGGGCCTTCTATAGCTGACTTTACGATATGAGTTATTTCATTGTTGACAGGTGTACGGTAGTCTGTAATTGCTTACATTTACTTAATTGGAATTTGGGAGAATAATTATCACATTGGCAATGAAAGACCAAAAAGCAGACGACAGAAGACATCACGGTATTGTTTGCATGTATGTTCTAATGGCAACAACCAGGCCTATCTTTATGATTTAATGCATGTATGTATCGGCTAAACATCAATACGGAAATTTCAATGAAAAGTAAAACATATGGGTAAAGGTAGTCGCTTGAATTTAATATCAAACAGTATTTAATTGAGCATGTTTACAAATAACTGGCGTTTGTGTTCTGCAGTAGCCGTCCTGAAAGTTATTGATTTCTTCATTGTCAGTTTACCCTTCTTGGTTCTTTTCAACTCGTCACAAACTTTATGTAACGCACACCAGCTTAAAACAAGTTTTACTACCTCACACACACACATCAATCATATGCATGTCAATGAAGTTTAGACGCCTAAGTCTACCGTTTAAGGCCCAAATGCCCTTACAATACACATTTTTAAAGTGTGGATGAAATTGTGGCGTATCTGGTCACTGGTTAGGTTTCCAACATCTTTGATAGGTCTCAATAGCAATTCAGTTAATCCATATGCGGAATGTCCGATCAAATGTTTGTCAATTGTTTATGGGGAAGAGTAAATAAATTGAGAATGAAACTGAGGAATGTGTCAGAGACAACAAACCGAACTAAAAGCAGGAAACCGTCAAACGCAACCAATGGGTCTACAATACAGCGAGAAAATTTATCCTTATTTTCAAATGCTTTTTCTCAACCCTAAAATTATGTACTGAACCCGGCCATCCACTTAAAACAATCAGAAAATGTAAATTCTGGTCATAAACTGCTTGCAACTCGATAGATGGAATTATTTTTTCGGTTATATCACCGCCACTTTTCTTAGGAAAAAAGTAGTATTAAGGTATAATTGAAAAACAATTCTCGAGTGCCTGTGGTTTATAATATTGTTCAGCATCGACTGCAGGTATATTGGAGCCATGCTCCTTAGCAACTATGACAAAATGAAAAAAAAACTGTTGACAGTTTCTAGGACTTTTAAGCTGGTAGGTTATTTAAACAAATCGAGTAGCATATAAACTCATCATATATACCAGGATTAAAATTTAGCATATTAGACGGTGATCTATGGACAAGTCATGAATAGTACCCTCACATACGCCAAAGTTATCAGCTATTTCTCTCGGTGTCTGTTGGGAAGAGACATATCTAATAAATAACAGCTGTTCCTCTTTATACAGACTCTTTCATAATGCCTCACTTTATTTCCAACAGTTAATCTATGGAATAAATGAATGACTACTGTGTCAAATGAGGATCTGCTCATTCTGAAATGCTGTCTAAAGTCATCAGGGGAATACACTGGAAGTACATTTTCACTGTATGTAGTCTTCAATTCTTGCAATCTTTCTACGTTTCTCTATGAAAGCCAATATAAATGTGAACTGACATGTTCTGTGTAAAAATGGTGAATAAGTTGCCTTAATCATGTATCTGCGCTCTCATCCTCGCTTTGTGCTAACCAATCTATCATCCTAAGAATATCCGCCATATAAAAATGAAAATGTGTGTGATTGTCAAGGAGACAAATCTTCACAAAAAAACAACTGACACAGAAATTAACTGCTGTAGGCCACCGTAGGTCTTCAACAATAAGCTTAACCCATACCACATGCATAGTCAGCCATAAACGACCCCGAAATCATAGATGTAAACCAATTAAAACGAGAAAACTAACGGCCTAATAAATGTACAAAAAAAAAAAACGAAAAGCAAAACATATCAAGTAATGAAAAATACTTTCACCGAAATTAAGAAACCATGGTGTAGTTACAAACTGATTTTTTCTAAACCTAAAACCCAAACTCAACCTTGTTTGACAATACATTCGCTATGTAATATAGTAACAAACTCCTTTTCTTCAAATATTGGTGTCAGTCAAGGTGATGACTTACTCCCTTATGAGTTGAATTTATTTCAAAATGAACTCCAAAATATTTTTGATGTTGACTGTTAACCAGTAAAACTCAATACCACATATTTGAATTGTCTCCTGTATGCAGTTGATGTTGATGAGAAATTGCTACAGGGTTACATGTTTTAGATGGACTCTCTGCTATTGTAACAGATTAACTAGCTATTAACTAACTGTTAAAACATACTAAATCGCTCGGGTTTTTCTCAAAACTGGTAGGTTAAATAATACTCTGTTTTAATTTAATAATATTCCTCTTAAGAGAGCAATACAACATAAATATTTAGGGCTAGTATTCACTATAAATTGCAGTTTTACAAATGCTAAACAAGATTTGTATAACCGGGGTTTAAAAGCAACATTCAAATACATATAAAAAAATGTGTTAGTGGAAACCTATCTGAACTTGAACCATTATTCCATATATTTTTTTTTATCGTACTGTTAAACAAGTCGTGTTGTATGGTAGTGAGGTATGGGGTGCTTTTCAGTCTGACAAACTAGCAGGAGGGGATAGATACTTAAAAAAGTTACGAAAAGAATTAACCGCAGGAATAGAAAGAGAAAAACAATTCGATCACATTACAAATACCACTTTTTTACGTATTGTATGTTTTCAAATTGAAAATAAGTTTGTCGAAGGTGTTTCTTAGCAACACCATTCCTCTAAATTGCCATATTTCTCTATGTCAAGATGTAGTTTCATTATATTGTTACATTTGATGGTTCTTTTCTTTTTTTTTTTTTATTTTGTATTCCTATGACAGCATTACATAATCCCGATACAATGTATATCGCCAGAATATCTTGCTGGGTGTTCTGGTGACAAATGATAATAATTTCAACCAAAGAGTTGCAAGAAGTACCCTGGTCAGTGCTGATTGTACCTTGTTTTTATTTAAAAAATGTTGTATGTGTTCCTATATTTATACGATTTAGCCCCCAGGGGTGACTGGGAAACGAAATATGGTCACTTGGTCTTCTCCCGACCGGCAGTTTAACGCTTGCCGAAGTGGGGCGTCCGTTTGGCTGTGCGGGATGTATCACGTCCGGTCAGAATGGGGACGTTAAATCCGATACCTCGTGTAACGAGAGTACCACGCTCTTTGCACGTTAAGAACCCTTGCAACAACTCTTTGAGGGGTCCGTAGGTGGCCTGTTGCAAGGCAATTTTCTGTACCTATCCAATATTCGCTCATTTTCCAGTGGCAGTCCAAATTTCCCCGACCATCATCCCGAATGGCCTCTATTATGACAAGACCTACCTATTGTATTTATTGTTAACTTGCTCTCGTCCTGAATATGCATGAAATATTTGACACTGGACGTTAAGCAACCAACAATCAATCAATCATACGATATAAATAACATTATATTGTTATTTTTTTTCTTTGTAGGTCATCACCACTCTTCTTGCAACCATCACTTATCTAATTGCTGATGCTTCACTCTTTCCATTAAAAAGTTGTTTTGTTTTGAAGTACGATAGTTTGCATCCGAGAAGTTCATCTGTTTCATTGCTAGAACACAAAAGGTTTCAAGTATTTATTAGAAATAGCACAGACGAGACGAAGATCTTCACCAATATTTGGAATTTGTGAATTGGGAACAACATTGGCCAAGTACTTCCATTGCTTCATTCTGCCATTAGCCGATTCGACTACCCAGCGTATTTTAGTTGTAAGTCTTGACGAATTGCTATCTTCAACATCATGTTGTTTTTTCCTTTCTTCAAAAATTTTGGCATTTCTGTTTTCATTCCAAGTTCGTGAAATTCAATAAATCACGAAATCCTCTATCGACTATCATCACGTCATCCTCATTCAACCACCTTTTCATTGTTTCTACATTATTTGATAATGCATGGATTATAATGTTTGCATCATTGTTTTTATTGTCACTGAAATATGGACCTAATACACTGACATAATATCCTGTTGATGCGACGTTCATTATTGGTTTTACTAATGGCCTCTTTTTGTGCATACTGAAAGATCTGCGTTGAAATGGAAACTGTGTGCTCTTTTGATTGATTGATTGATTGATTGAAAAATTTAAGTATGAGATGTTTATTAGTTTAAATGCCTATCCGAATGAAAATATTTTCACATCTGGACAATAAAACATTTTGAATGGGCGGCTATCTTCTGGGTATCCGCTGCAAATGTTTGCACCTTTCCTAAGTCAGGAATCTGATGTACAGTAGTTGTCGTTTGTTTATGTAATTTATACGTGTTTCTCGTTTCTCCTTTTTTATATAGATTAGACCGTTGGTTTTCCCGTTTGAATGGTTTGACACAAGTAATTTTGGGGCCCATTATAGCTTGTTGTTCTGTGTGAGCCAAGGCTCCGTGTTGAAGGCCGTACATTGACCTATAATGGTTAACGTTTATAAATTGTTATTTTTGGATGGAGTGTTGTCTCATTGGGACTCACACCACATCTTCCTATATCTATGTAGGGTAAGGACAAAAAAACCTTTTCTATTTGTATGGCCCTACCCTAAAGTTTTTTTTTCGTTTTTCAATAAGTACTGTAAAAATCAGAATAGCCCTCCCAAAGACTCAATTTATGAATTTCAGAAAATAGTAAAATAAAAAAAAATATACCTACATACGTACCCTATTCTTTTCCA